TGTGGTAATTCCAACTCTCGACTCCTTTCTAAAACAAGTAACAGCTTCTTGCACACGAAATTTGATATAGGACTAACAGGGCAATGCAAATGGTATTCACTTAAAGTCGAGCCTTTGATTGGAAGTCTCAAACTTTTGCTCTTAGAAATAAATACCCGTCAAAAATCCAACTGTTAGACAATCAAAGATGATGGTGTGGAGATGTTCTGAGTGATGATAGCCCGTTATCAGATGTTCTTTATCAATGGACCCTTTTCTTTACGGAGATACCATTAGTTGAGAATTCCAGATTACTGGCGGTCGATCAAGTTTTGTCGCAAATGATATCAAGCAAAGAGGATCCTTCATTGACTCACAAACCTTGCTGGGTAGCGGTCGTAATCTGATAGTAAGAAACGAACAAAACTCTAATCTGCTTAGCGCAGTGCCGCTAATGGGTCCTTTTCATTCGTATTTTCGAATGAATCATACTGAACAGCCAAAGCTACATCGTAAATACCGAAAGGTCAGAATTTTGATGGGTAGGTGGCCTCTCTTAGGTCTTTTATTTTCACTTATCAATGATCAGTTCTTGTCACCGAGTGCCTATGATCCGGTCATATCCTACATCACTTACTTAAAAGCTGAGGTTTCACTGTTAGTACGAAGAGTGTAATCCTACCAAATTCCGACTTTCTAGGTCAACGTAAACAGGAGTTATTGATTTGCGGCCCAGTTTTCATTGCGCACGCATCGCCCCCTGTGCACGGAGTCCGATCCTGCCACTTACCATAAGTGTTCCCGTCCTGTCAACTTTCTCCTACTAAGATTGAACGCTCCAGGTCCACGGGGCCAGGAGTTATGAACTCGCGACCTGAAACTTTCATCGCCCACGCCTCGCCCCTTATAAGCGGAGTCCGGTCCTGCCACTTACCAAAGGTGTTCCCATCCTGCCTCGCTTATTCGTACCAAATGTGAGCGCTCTGGGTCCACGGAGACAGGAGTTATGAGTTTGCGGCCCAAAATTTCTAACGCACGCGCGCCGTCCCCTGTGCACGGAGTCCGATCCTGCCACTTACCATGAGTGTTCTCCTCCTGCCGCCGTATTCCTACCAAGTTTGAACGCTCTAGGTCCACGGGGGTTACGAATTTCCGGTCAGACACACACACCGACACACACATACAAACACACACACAAACACACCGACACACCAACAGACACACTTAGCGAATTATATATAGTAGGATATTGGAGTTTGCTAGCATTTATGCCACCAGTTGGGCTACGCACCCCAATGCGTGCACCACATGCCCAAGCTTACGCCTACGATTAAATGTGTCAATCGGTTGCTCTTCATCTTGAAAATTATGAACCATTAAAGGGTTATCTTTGAAGCATTGAGTAGTACTCACGAATGTTCTCAAGTGATAATAACCCCATTTTAGATTTCGTTATCACTGGACCTTCTTTCCTCCAGGGGTACATCATTAGTTGAGAATCCCAAATTATTGGCGGTCGGATGAGCTTTGTCATAAATGATATCAAAACATTAAGTAACCTTGATTTTCCATCGCGTTACAAACCTTGCTGAGTAGCGGTGGTAATCTAAATAATAGTCGTAATCATAAGTACATCATAGATACCACAGGAGTTGAATTCAGTTGGTAAGTGCTCTCATCAGTCGCTATCAGCTGTTATCACTTCTTGACATCGGTTGTCTACGATCACGACATACTCCACATCACATGCCAAACTGTCAAGGCTCCACTATTAATGCCATTGCCGTATAAATGCTCTGCATGAAGGTGAGAGTTGCGATTGCGAGCATGAAAAAGGGCACAACTCCAGGCCCCGACAAGATCTCAGCCGACCTACTCCGTGCAGGAGGCTACGAACTTCCTGCGCTTCTCGCAGCACACATGACATCCTACCTCCAGAAGGAGAAGATTCCCGACCAGCGGAGGAACTCGCGGATGGTCATTCTTCACAAGAAGGGAGACCGGGATGATCTTCGCAATCACCGCCCAATAAGCTTGTTAGGTGTGCTTTACAAGCTGTTCACGAAGATCATTCTGGCCCGCATATCGCGAACGCTGGATGAAGCTCAACCTGTAGAACAGGCCGGATTCCGGAAGGGATTCAGCTCTTTAGACCACATCCAAGCGGTCGCAATGGTCATCGAAGTGTGTCGAGAATTCCGAATGCCTCTTGTCCTTACCTTTGTNTTTATCTCGGGCGTTCCATGAATATGGACAACGACATGAGAGAAGAACTGGTAAGACGGCAGAAAGCAGCGTGGGCAGCGTTCAGGCTTCTGAAAGAGGTCACCAACCATCTGGCTGACCCGGTACGTCGTGCTAATCTGTTCGATTCCACAGTTCTTCCTGCGCTCTGTTACGGGTCGGAGACTTGGATGACCAGTGCATCCACGTCAAAGGCTTTGAATACAAGTGACAGAGCGCTCGAGCGATGTCTTTTGAGGTTCAACCGACTCACGCAATATCGAGCCGGACTCCGCAGCTCCGATATGCGCAGAATGTCTCGACTCCGCGATCCGGTGGAATACATGAAGAACACAAAATTTCGGTGGGCCGGTCATATAATGAGAACAGATGATGACAGATGGACAAGAAGAGCAGTCGAGTGGGCTCCCATAGGATCTACACGATCTAAGGGTAGGCCTGCTGCGAGATGGGGGATGTGCTTGTCGATCACGTGAAAAACCTGCGACAGCAGCTGAATGACTCCTCACATCGCCATCTTCGTCGAATCCTGAATCTACCGTGGATGGCGATCGCGAAAGACAGAAGCGAATGGTTTGTTGCTGGTGCTCGCACATGAGTGAAGACGAGCCGTATAAGCAAGTAAGTAAAAATGCTCTACACTTTCTTGGATTTACATTAGCCCTTATCAGTTTTATCAGCTCCTGACCTGACACCAACCGTTCTCGATCCCGTCACCTAGTACCTACGATCCTGTCACATCTTACGTAACCTATTAAAATTCCAAGATTCCATTATTAAAAGAAAGTACATCACAGATCTAGTGACTCTCGCCTTCTATGGTTTCTTATCAGTCCCCATCAGTTGTTATCAATCCCTGTCACCAAACATTTGCAGTCCCTTCACATCCTTCACCACCTGCCAAAGTGCCAAGGCTTCATCGCTAATACGAAGGTAGTTACGGATCCTGAGGCTTTTGCCTTTTAAGGCTCCTTATCAGTTTCTATCGATAGCTGTCACTTCCTATCACCTGCCATCAGTGTTCTTATCCTGCCCCCTATCTCTCTTTCAAATTTGAATGCCCTAGGTCCAGTGGGACAGGAGTTATGAATTTCCGGTCAGACAAACACACACACAAACATACCAACAGACACACTTAGCCGATTATATAAGTAGGATAATATGGGGTTGAGATTGGCTCAGCGAACAAGTGTGCATATGAGAATAAATCCTCTACTATCCTACTAAAAGCCGGGTTGCTCGGCCCACACCGGACTTCCATCCTTATAGAGTTATAATAATCGATTGACTGACCCGCCCCTTCGTAACAAATGATGGTATTTCGAACAAGAAATTTGACAGATGGCAAACAGGGCATTCGAAGTGCGCCGATGCTTATGCCTATGATTAGAGAACTCGATCTGTTGTTGTTCATCTTCAAATAGTGACTTATTGAAGGTTCAACAGGTGGGCAACCAAAGCCTTGCATGGTACTTACAAATGCTTTTGAGTTATAATAACATCACTATCGAATGTCCTTATCAATATAGCTTAATTTCTTTACGTTATATCATTACAAGAGAATTCAAAATTATGAGCGGTCGGATACCGAAGCAGAAAGAAACCGTTATCTCTTATTGAGTCCCAGAAGTGTTTTGTAGTGGTCGTAATCTCATAGCAAAAATGGACCAATTTTTGCCTTAATCGGTTCCTATCACTACACTTGCTCTTCTTTTGGAATACATAATACATATCAAAGAGTCAAAGCTGGAGGGTAAATAACGAAGGCGTTAGGATTCAATTGGTAAAAGGTTCCTGCTTCCTCAGGCCTTTCTATCGTAGGCATTCCCATCCTGTTGATAGCGTTCCCATCATGCTCCGGTACCCTACCAAGTTTAAACACTAGCTTCGAATTGGCGATTTTCGCGCAAACCTCGCTCCATGTGGGTGGA